AAGAATTATTCGATCAATGATCCAGAGTAGTTACGTTATGAATGCACTTAAGATTACGGAATGTTATCCATGCAACATATATACTGACATTCATACAGCCGTAGAAGACTCCGGTATAAGTTAAAAGAAACAATTGAGCCCAGGGCATAGACAAAGGATTGAATTGTTAGAAGATACATCATGGATATTCCATAGCGCCCATGAAAGGCTAAAGTAATAACTAATACCAGGGGCCGCAGATCGGAAGATAGCTTAAGCCTACATGAAGGCTGATCAGAAGGAAGAGGAAACTAAAGAGTTACATCAACCAAATTAATTAGGAGTCTGATTCTTGGACCCAAAAAATTATAGAAATCGTGATTAAGAACATTGCAGAAGCACTCTTAATATAAGAGGTACAAGAGAGATAGTACAATAGCCATATTCTATAACAGCTCTACGATAAAGTCAGTTAGAAAAGTACCAGCCTCATAAGAAGTCAATATGAAGCTCTCACCGGATCGTGTATGCACCAAAGGTACAAGTGTTATAATAAGAACTTCAAGTTGTGGATGTGAATTATACCTATGTGGAAGGGAGGTCATGAAATAGATAGAAGATATGATGCGAGATTTGAAGGTAAAGGTAAACAACGTGTGAAATACTCAAATGCAGAAGGTTGTGAACATTTCATACTTCGGATAGAATGCTAGAAGCATGGGGATTCTGTATCCAGGAATGATAGCGGCGTCGTCAGTGGCATATCTTCCAGCCTATGGTTTCTAGGTACCGAGAGATCTAGCCAGGAAAGTAAAGAAGAGATAGAGATGATGTGATGTCTCGCTTGATATTCCAGAATAACATAAGGAAATCTATGGTGCAAGCAAGTTGAAGGGAGGTTGCGAGTAGTATAAATAGATATGTATAGGTCGCAAGTTAAAGTATAGTAAAGCGACAAGGTTTTATGACAAGAGTAAGGATAAGAAAGGGCGAGTGAGAAGGTGACGAGAAATGGATAAGTCCTCAGGATTAAGCCCATGAAAACAAGAGAGCTAATGGTTTCTCTAAGTTATAGAAAGCTCAGCATAGCCTGAACGAACTTAAAAGAGTCTAAGGCTAATAGCATTTGGGAGAGGTGGAATGCTGCCCTGGTAGTAAAATAAGGGTATAATTGTGATAGATAAAGGATGACATTTGGGCCTTCGATTGAGTAATGATTTGAAGGAAAAAAAAAGAAAAGAAGGGATTCCTGAATTGTACAGAATTAAAATACCCACGCAAGGTAAATCACATTGGGATGCTATGAAACACGGTTATGGAAGCATGGATCGCCCCCAGGTGGATCAGTCTAATCATTTCAGATGTTCCCCGATGAGACGTCAGCCCTAGTGATAACATAAGAAGTTTCAAGTAATCAGTGGTAGATTGTAGATAAATAGTGAGGTGAATCAACAATGGATGGTTAAAAGTCACAAAGTATGAGATGAGATTAGGCCATCAGTCTTGAGGATAAGCAACGAGAGTAACCTGTAGTTTTGGTAGCAGACCTCAGTAACGATAAATCAAAGTAAGAGTTATGGTATAGTGTGACCTACCTAGATGCAGTAAAGATACGGATGGATAAGCGGATCTATAAAATAAGGTATAGCAATATTCGTAAGTTCGACAAAGTACCGAGCGAAGAACTTGTGAGGCCTAGAGATTGGCTAGAAGCTAGAGGAAAAAGGAGAGAAGAGTTTTATAGGTGCACGTATAAGGTCAGTGTCGTACATGCTGCATGATAGAAGGTAGCAACAGTTATGAGATTGGAAGGATTCCGGCAACAAGTTGTAGTGTGAAAAAGAGGCCTAAAGGGGGGAATGACCTGGCCTTTGGAATTATTCACAGAATAGTTGCCTAGATGGCAAGGAGAGTACTAAAGTATTCAGAAGACATAAGTTATGAAAATGATGCTATTACACCCCATATTCTCGTACGTGGAAGTAAACCATAAGTAAATTGATATAAGCTCGGTAATGAGATGTTACATCCCGCACTTTTGTACGTTAAAGTTTCGTCGTAAGTTAATCGACGTAAGTTTGGGAATGAGATTATTTGGAGATTATAAATATTATGCTACTTTAAATAAGTGATGAGTAAATTTGTGAAGGTGAGAGGGTAAGCAAATCGAAGAAAATGAATTTCGTCGAAGTTTGACATTTTGGAATAAAATACGGTCCGAGCTATAATACTAGGTATTTATGAACTAGTGCCATACAGGGTACCATATGACCTGATAGTAAGACATATAAAGTGTGTTAAAAGTGAGTTGTATTTTAAGTAATTTGAGATAACTCCTAATTATGTGAATAATTGGGTAATTATGAATTTTTAGTGGTTAAGTAATTAAGATTATGGATAAAGCTTAAGGTGTCGCAAAACGTGGCAGCAAATAGATGCAATTAAAACTCAAATGTGTGACTCTTACACTACGTAGCTAGGTGGCACAATTAACGAGATTGGTGGCCAAGTCATCACCCACTTTGATAACAACAATTAAGGAAGATGTAAAGCTTGCTAAGCTTACGGATGGAATTCACAAAAGCCATAATCTCAACGTGATGGCTTCAGCAAATATCATACAAAGTTATGATTAAATTCACAAAGAGATCATATGGAATTTGCTACAAAAATTCATAGTAGTCTACTACTTGGCAACGTGAGAATTTGCGATTCTAAGAGAGCACGATGCAATTTTTCTCAAGAATATACGGGTTTTCCCCTACTTCGATCTGTCGTTATGTGTTCTTCGCAAAAGACCTGTGTTAGAGGAATTCTCAAGAGAATCGGCTCAGGTATGTTAAGGTTATCCCTTCTTTCCTTTTGGCATGATCCATACGATACAAACGAAACGAGCAAATATACAATTTCCATAAATGACTCTATTCATAGAAATGCTAGAGATGCTTATGTTCTTGATTCCCCATATGTCCTATTATTCTATCATCTGTTCATGGGTCTCAGAAAATACGTAAGTTGATAAAGTCTACTTCATGATATTAATCAAAGGCATAATGGTCTTATGACATTCCGAAAGATTTTATTGACGACTTCTCATGCATTGTATTCATTTATACATGTACATTGACTCATGACCAGATATATATATATATAATGGGATATGGGAAAAGGTTACGGTGTTATATACGCACTACCACCTGATCAGCTGGTATACATTGATGATTTGCCCACAGTGGCCGAGATGATATGATGGGATGCCCTCAGAGGCTTGATGATGTTTTGAACGCATATACCCAAGCATGATATGCCATTTATACGCATATGCATGACATTATAAAATTCAATGATTCACAGAGCTATTCAGACATACATGTTGAGTCTTTTACTCCAAGCTTCTCTCATGTCTATTATTTACTGATTTTCATTCCTTACATACTCGATACATTATTTGTACTGACGTCCCTTTTGCCTGGAGACGCTGCATTTCATGCCCGCAGGTCCCGATAGACAGGTCCAAGTAGGCTATTAGCTCAGCGGAAGGTGTTGCTGCATTCCATTTGCTCCGAAGTTGCTTATGTGGTCAACATGAATAGGACATGTATTGATTAGTATGGCGGGGCCCTGTCCCGACCTTTATGACATTTATGTACTCTTAGAGGCTTGTAGACATATGTCGTGTACGTGAAAGATTGTACGGCCTTGTCGGCCTATGTTAAGTGTAGGAGTGATCATTTTGGTCTTATAGGCCAGTATGTCATATGTATAAGTTTGTATTCCCTCATGCTTTACTTTGGTTCATTTACCTATGATAGAATGATACGAAAGATACGCTACGTTGGTACTCGGTTGAGTAAGGTACCGAGTGCCCGTCGCGGCCCATCGGTTTGGGTCGTGTCACTCCTCCTTTAGCTAATTTTATACCAATAGCCACTTTTGTAGTCATGTTTAGAAATTAACACTTTTACAATATCGACCAGTGGTTTGAACTTATAAATTAGGCGCTTGGTCTGAAGTATAAAATTCAAAATTTAATACTATTCAAACTAGGGATCTAATTTTAAAAGAGTGGCTAATTTATAAAAAGATACAACGTATGACACAGAAAGTGGTCTTCTAGTGTAAATATCACCTTCATGATATGATCAAAACAGGCCAATCCCCGTCTGGACAAGAGATTCACGAGAAAAATCACAATTTGATCCTAATAAGATTTGAACCATGAACCTAACTTACATTTTGATTTTTTATTATCAGTGGCCATACCTGCTAATGCTTGAGAAGAAAAACTGATAACGCTTAATGCAATCATTTTTTGAGAAACTTATCACTATTTATTTGGTGTATGCACGCAATTTAGTTTATTTAACTATATCTCTGTTTATCGAAAAAAAAACTATATCTTCATATAGGAACTACCAAGAAAAAGATACTGTATGTGCCAATATTATCATTAAGAAAGTTACTTTTTATGCGGAAAACTAAATAATTAAAATGTTATTTTACCGTAATTTTTTGTAAAATAATTATCTTGATGAAAATGCCCAAAACATGCTTAGCAATTATAGGCAATCATAGGCTGAAAAGTTAATGTCAGTTTTGGTAACAAGGTGAATTACATTCTCCTACAAGTTACTCCCTCCTAAATTTGTTGGGAAATTTGGAAAGTGAGATGCCAAGCCTATTATGAACACGAAAATCCAAACTGAACTCTAATTCTAATTGTATTTTATGTAATACTAGATACGAATGGCCCGTGCCAACACGGACCCAATAATGCAGCCTACACATTTAAATTCATGCGAAGAAAGATCAACTTAAATCACCGGCGATTTAAGCACGGCCATATAAGCAAAAGGAAACATAACCTACTTGGTTTAGTGACATCAAAATAAGCACCAAGGTTGAAAAACATCCTTGGTCAATGCCTGCTAAACTCTCAGATCTAAAGCGAGAACTTAGAATTTGAGTTACCAACTAATAGAAACATCAATTTATTCTTCATATTTTTGACCTGATATTTCCTTTTCACTTCTCCCAAAAGAACCTTATTGTTGTTTTAACAAAGATACGTTACTTTTTGAAAAGGCATAGAGATACATCGTCTCACACGTTTGTGTCACTTCAAGATGTGCTATTTGAGGAATCATATAATTATATTCACATTTGCGTTGGGATGACTAAGGCTGAAATCTAAGGTGAAAGAAGCAGTCTCAAGCAGCATCAGGAAAACTCCTCAGACGTATCATACCTTTTCTTGCATCATTGTTGTCTACCTCAGTAAAGATAATCGTTGAACAAGAATTGCCTGAGCTCATTTATGATGACATTGTGTGGGTTGATCTCCATTATCTTCGTGCTAGACATTATACATCTACGCTATAATCATTTAGAGCTTTAGCCTTCATAAGTTTCCCCATGCAGCAGACAACATTAATAAGCCCATGACACGATCAGAAACAACGACCTTGTCAACCTTGTCTCACTCGGATCCTTAATAACCTTCTGCATCAATATCGTCAACCACGAAGAGAACCTTATAGTCCTTCTCCATCACCACTATATGCCATAAAAAAAGTTAAATATAACCATTAAACCTGGGCAATTAACACCTGCATTTTCAAGACATAGGCAATTCAGTTGGCTTGAATTAAGGATGAATTAAGGGAAAATAAAGTTGAACGTCATATTTACTTGATTGTCACTAAAATTCAAGTAGGAAAAGAAAACAATAAATGACCAACTCCGTACTACAGAGAACTGTAGCACAACTTTTAAAGCCAATGGTTAGAAATTTTTAAAACCAGAGACTTTAATGCTAAGTCATTTTCCATCTGTAACATATTATACAAGTGATTTTAATATTTAATGTAATGTTATTTTTCATCTGTAACATATTGTACAAGTGAAATCACACAATTACTAATGTTTCAAAATATATAGAGCTCAAGTCTAGTTCCTTTTAGTAAAGAAATTTTATCTATTTATGATATTTTTTCTTGCTCTCATAAATATTAAATACCATATCTCTTTCTCAGTTTGGTATAAAAGACAGGGGAGGTTGCTAAAGTCCTTTTACGGAGAAGAAACTTCTCATTAACTCATTTAACCGTGATATTTTGTATATACCTTTTAAATATTTTGATTTCTTAATTATTATAACTTATAGTACTCTTTATGCAGTTTCAAAGTATGTATTTTTCTTTTAAAAATTTTAAAAATTTATGTCCCAATTCATGGTCATATTAAAGAAGTTTGGCACTCAATCCCAAACTGCAACACATAAATTAGGACAGAGGAAACACTTCAAACCAGCAAGCCAACCCCTGAATTCTAGTGCTTACAAAAGACATGAAACTTAATGGGATGTCATTTTCATATTTATCCTGTAACTTATATGTAGAAACTATCAGCCAGCGGTATGTTTTAACAACTTCTGGTCAAATATTGGTATAATGCAATAATGCATTTTGCTCAATAAGTCTTATTTATCAACAAAATCCGGTGCCTGCATTTATGACTAATTCCAGCAAAGCCCTCTATCAACCCTCAATTCCATAAAATAAGAAGTTTGTATATCTTAAGAGAAAGTGCATATATAATGGATATCCTCCAAAGTAGAAGAAATAACTAATATTGTTTTCAGTACCTTTGTATGTTTGAAGATTATGCTTTTCTTTTCCTTCTAGATGGATTTTTTCTTTTCATTAGAATCTTGATATCGTAGATTCCTAAAAATTGAATCTATAAAAATGCCCTACTCGCCAAGAAAAACATATAGTAAAGAACGTCATCTTCTCAACTCCAATATGCGATTTACAGAATGAGTTTTCAATAATACATTTAATGCAGTGATGTCAATGACACGACATATTACAAGAGTTAACATGAGGCATTACAAGAGTTACCAGTTACCTCGGTTCAAAAGCATTAACCACTGGCAGCAAAGAACATGAAAGTATGTACATTAATTCATTCAAAAGCATCAATCACTAAAAGTATTTACAGAGAGAGTGGAAAACCAAGTATACCACAAATAGGAGTGGAAAACGGGCGGGTCGGGTCGGATATGGTTCGGGTCGAAAATGGGTAGTGAAAAAATGGATAAATTATCCGACCGGACCCATATTTAATACGGATAAAAAACGAGTTAACCGGCAGATAATATGGGTAACCATATTATCCATGATTTTTTGCATATGATCACTTTTTGGAGAATTCTTAGTCTCCCTAACTTGAGGAACCCCTAATTTGAGGCTTTACAAATGTAAAAGTTAGACCCATTAGTTATCCATTGGTTATTCATTTTCTAAATGGGTAACTATTAAAAATTAACAGGAAATAAAAGATACTTGAAGCCCCTTAGAGCATATATTGAAAGAGTTGATGTTGCTTCTTCGATTGAGATTTAGGTACTCAATCCATAATGTCTTTGTATGTAGGTAGTTGTGTTCCAAAAACTTGTAAATTTGTCAAATTATTTATAATTTGATATTTTTGTTGTTGACGAAAGTTAAACAAGTAGTACCAATACCGTAACAGAGATATATTGGAAGCAAATGAAAAAATAATTTCTTTAACGTGACCGACAAACAACGTATAACACATACTATATAGTTTACTAATTTTATAGTAGTAAATAATGTACCTTTCGCTTAATGGATGATGGATGTGTATGTTGCTGAATACCACTGGAAACAAAAAGGATAAAAATTGTTCAGTTGTTTCAGCCTTAATGTCAAACACCTTGACTGTATCAAAATTCTTCTATGTTTCATTACGACCTTTGATAATCAAAATTCACACATAAAAATATGAAGAAAAGACAAAACCATAAATGTATGATGTAATGTAAAATATCATATCCACTTAATGGGGACCAAAAATACATGTTCACAGACAACTTCATAAGCTGAATAAAGATTTCAAGATCAATGATCACAAAGAAAATAGAATCACAATTTTACTGCTAATTTCATCCTTGAAGAACCCATTTACTCCCAAAACAATCTTACCCAACCAAAATCAGAAATAGTAGTATATCAAAAATATAAATTAATGTATCTATTTTCAAATCAAATAAGATACAAATAATGGATGCATGTACAAAATAGAGCGAGAAACAAAATTAATACCTATCAAAGTCCCATTATCAAGCAGAGACGGTTCACCAATCCAAAAAAAAGAACAAGCAACAATCATAGATCTCCTATATACAGCATATGTCATTGTCATGGAGAAGCTGGAACAATATGGAGAAATTTGAATAAGAAATCAGAAGCGAAAGCGTAAAATAAATCACCAAAAGACAAATATTAGGAGGAAAAATTGAAAGAGGCCACGTGTTATCGGAAGAGAGCAAACAACTCATAAATGTTAGCAAAATGTCAAAACTACCCTCACTTTTGATTTAATTGACGTGAAGCAGACACGTCAAAATTTGAGCTCTTCTAATATATATAAATATCTAATTCGTCTAAAGTACTACCACCTACGTTCTAATTTATGTGATAGTTTTCGTTTTTCAAGATTCAAACTTTTTAATTTTGACAATGTATTTGGATATAAAAATTTTTAATTTTTTAAAATTAAATATTGTATATTTGAAAACTACTTAAAAAATATCATAAGTCATAATAATTAATAATTTAAAATATTTAAAAGGCACATGAAAAAATTATGGTCAAAGAATAATCCGTTTGCCTCTCCAAAATGCGTATATCTTCACATGAATAGGGATGGAGAGAGTATTTTTTTAGTGTTGGTAATATGGTCTAAACTATTAAAATGGAGAGAACAAGAGAAAGATAGTTGGGGGGGTTATTTTTTTTTTGGGGGGGAATTCTTTAGAGAAAGCCAACAATTACAAAGTCATAAAACTCATGAATTGTGTAGAAGCAAGTGCAGTGACATACGCATTGGAACTTTATTGCAAGAATGAGTAGTTCACGGATTTTTCAGTTGAAAAAGATTAATCAGGTCCTAAAAAAAAGACTTCTCTCCAGCCTAGGGCTCTCGGCGTACGTTAAGCTAACCTACACCGATGGTGGTACCCATGGCCAGAGGGCCAGGACAACAAAAAAAACAAGCAATTGTAACGATGGAAAGCTCATTCAGTGCTAGGGTAATGGCAGAAACCCTAGAAAATGGCAATGAACAACGAGTTGTAACACCATTAGCAACCCAATTCCCGTATCTTTTTCCCCTGATATGGACAGTCAAATCAGCCACTGGGTTAAGAAATTAAATCTTAGTGGTATTCGGGACAACACGGGTTGTGCTCTATGAAAACAGAATTTTAATTTTCTATTCAATTCAAAATTCTGGAGCTCCATAGGAGCAATTGACAGGAATTGATGAGCAACATCATGCAACATAACCTAAACAACCATCAATGTGGAATCTCGAGCCGGCAACGAGAGAGCATGTTCCAGATTCCATTTGGTCCGGACTATTCACTCGAAATCGAGCAACAACAAATGGTATGTCTCTTGATTACATACCTCCGGAATTGGTTGAAGGAAATATTATGGTCAAACTTGACAAGGAAGAAACACACAAGCAAACTGATAAAAGGGAGGCTGCACTAGTAGTCTATGCCATAGGAGAAACGCCAGGGGTACACTTTTATGAAGAAGTTTGTGACCCAAAATTGGAATATGGTGGCAGAACCTGAGGTTTATTATCATGAGGAAGGAAACTATGCTGTTAAATTCCAATCTATAGCAGATTTGAATGAAATTCAATATGCAAGCCAGTATAGTATTGATAACAAACCTATGATATTGAAATAATGGTGCCTAGAGTCTGATTTTAATGTTGAGTTTCTCAATTACCTCTGTGGATTAAGTTTTCAAGTTTGCCCATCATCTGCTGGAGCCGAGACTCTTTGAGTAGGATAGCTAGTGCTATTAGTGTCCCAAAATATGCAGATGAGTGCACAACAAAGCAAACTAGAATCTTATTTGGTAGAATGCTTATAGAAGTCAATGCCATCAAGCCTCTACCAAATGAAGTAAATGTGATAGACCTTTCAGGAAAGACATTTCAGCAGCTAGTGACATTAGAATGGAAACCAGAGTACTGTGAAGATTGTCAAATGATAGGACATAACTGTGCTTCACAAAAAATGAAGGGATTGAAGAAAGAGGAACTCAAGCATCCCAACATGCCAAAAAGGAGAAGAGGTCCTTAGAAAGTAGTGTCAATTTGGATACCAAAGGTTGATAAAAGAGTTATAGCTGACTCCACTACTGATTAGAAGGGAGCTAGCTATGCAGAGATCATTAAGAAGGATAACAACCAATAGAGAGTGAAGATAAGGAAGAATTGAACTTACAATCTAAAGAGAAACAACTATAGAAAAGGAAGGCAACTAAAGAAATCAATGGTAGACCTGTGACTGGTTGAGGTTGCTATCCCAGTGAGAAATGAGTTTGATGTTCTACAATGTGATGATGGTGTGGTAGTATAATTACTCCTGTCTGACATAGAAGGGGCTTTATATGCCATAATTAACATCTTGGTTAGCATATAATATGTGGGGGGGGTGGGGGGGGGGGTAGGGGGGGGGGGTAAGGGGGAGGGTAGGTAAAGTAAGGAGGTAGTAAGCGAAGAAAGAACGTAACTAGGATATCTACGAGAGGAAACAGAAGTCAAGTTAGAGGGACTTAAG